CTATTTGCCATGCATGCCTACAATCTTTGCGTTGATAGTGACAAGCTCTATTATTTAAGCTAAAGGAATGCTTTTTTATTTAATATTTTTATTTTGTATAATTCAGTTCAATTAACATGGAAGTTTGAATTGATATTGTGAGTCCAGTTTTCAGATTTGAAGTGTGGTTTTTCACTGCTGAAAGTTTAAGGACTGAAGAGCAAATCCATCGATGCACAGGTCCACAAATCCCAATGAGTAAATTACTTTCACATTTATGAAGAGAGGGGGAAAAGCTTTGAAAATAAGCTATTTTCAAAGGTTTGATTGTATTTTTTTCGTGCAATGTCATGTGTTTATGCTGTGTTATAAAAAAATAAATCGCATTATTTTTCACATGATTCTTCACCACTGTTTTCCATTTATCAAAAAAAGTCTGTTGACTTTCTGGTTCTATTTAGCTCATCTGAAACATGCAATGGGCTCTGATTGGTCAGCTGGCCCAGTATGTTCTGATTCACTAACTGTGAAAAACATCATGCTTGTTTATGTAACTTTTAGGTTTGTGATGTTACAAGTTTGTTGCTGTCCCAACCAGCTGTTTGTTTTATAGGCTTTAAAAAACATTGTGCAATGCAGTGGTCGGTGTAGCAACATATGTCGCAACTGTCGTGACTCACAGACCTTTCCCGATCCAATAGGGTACAGTATATGTGTTTCTTTCCATATCGATAAACTTCTAGTGAACAGTTAATGTGACTTTTTCAATTTTACATGGTTCCTTTTACCGCGTTGATGTTGTAATGTAATTAAAATAGAATCAGTTAAATAGACTTCAGAATTAATTCATTTGTTTAAGTGTAAAATGAGTTAAAGACTGTTTATATGCACCTGCCTGTCAGGATTAGCAGGCTAGCACTGAAAATGTAATTTAATGCAGTATTTGTTGTTCATTCTGAGATCCACTTTATATCGTATTTATATCAAGCAGTGAAGATTGTTGATCAAAAAAAAAAAAAAAACAGACCTTAAACGTGCTGATTTTGTAATGGTATACAGTTCACTGGAAGCGTTTGACCCAGGTTACTGAAAAATTAGTCCTTCTGCATACTTCTGCATATTCCCCTCTATCTCTCAAAATACACACACACACACACACACACACACACACACACACACACACACACACACACACACACACACACACACACACACACACACACACATATATATATACACTGTCTTATTATAATAATAAGATAAAGATCTTTAAAATAAATAAATTATTAATTCAATAAAATAAAACTATTCCTTTCTAATTTAACTTTGAGTGCCACAACTTTGCACATGTTGGCTATGCTGAAACATATTGAACAGTTCAACTGTTTAAAGGGCACCTATTTTACCCCCTTTTCAAAATTTAATATATGTTTTTTGTGTCTGCAGAATGTGTCTGTTAAGTTTCAGCTCAAAACCCTCATCAGATTATTTATTATACCTTTCAGAATATAGGAAATATTGGAAACTGTTTTTGTGGCCTGTGCCTTTAATGCTAGTTCTTCCCACCACCAACCTCCGCCTCGGCTGTGTCAGATAAACAGCATAGTGACAGACATGAAGGAAGCAGATCTCACATAATGTTTGTGAGAAATACTACAGTAAGAACTACCCAATGATTATTTATTTATTGTCTTTGTTGCGGAGTTAATTCAAATCTTTCTGCGATGAGTCACACACAATGTTACAAATTTCACGCTCACACACAAACATGCACACACACAGCGGACACACACAGAGCTCGCGTTTAAATTTGTACTGTTTTTGCATGGCAAATGTGGCAGGCTACAGGTTAATATCCAGTGCTGTATGGATATCCATTATTTAAATGTACAAAATAAACCTGATTTAACGTCCACAAACCGGGATTGAAGCATCTTCTTTCATAATTGTACTGGCATGCGGTTGTGGTGATAATGACGGTAAAATCGCTGTGATTAAATACAAACATGCACTGTTTTAAAAACATTTTAAACTTGTAAAACTGATTCTTGATCACATTTGATGATGGTTGATGATCACAGGGAGCTGAACAGATCTTTTTATCCCAGTGCTTTGTGCATGTCCGGTCTTGTTGATATGATTATACGTGTCACTACGGAGACATGTTAATAGCCTACAAAGCTGTCAATTTGGGGAAACCACACTCATGTCATGTTGCAGTGGGCCTCAAAATAAGAGAGATTTGGATCCTATTTTAAAAAAGAGACTTAAGGCCCGTGCACACAGAGACGTTTTTTGCTCACGTTTTAGGTCAACGTTTAACGCCTCTTGAATAAATAAAGGGCATCAACGTGATCGTGCACACCAAAGCGCAAAACGCCAGCCGTAAAAGCATCTTTTAAAATAAAAATGCCTCAAAACCTTCTCCAGCGATCAAATTGGCACTTTTGTTCACATGCATGGAGCTGCTGAAGTTACAGTAAACAGCACTTGGAGGCGCTCAAGAGCAAAACTGCCAATGCAAGCGCACATTGAAGAAGATGCCCAGGGCAAAGAGCTTAGAAGGACCAAGAGGCAACACTCAATAGAACGTTCCATTGCAACAGCAGCGCCCAGCAACAGCCCCGGATTCCGCCATTTTGGAGTGAAAATGATCGGCCGTCCATAGACTGATTTCACGCGGCCGTCATTTTCAAAAGCGAAATCGAGGCTGCAGTGGGAAGAAAACCAAAAGTATCATAGGAACATAGGAATGTTGTGTACCTGGCTGTTTATCTTATCAGCGAAGATAAAGTGATACAAATTTATCCTTTCTCCGCCTTCCGGGTGACCCGAAGGTCCGTTCTGAATGAATAGTGAATGTAAAAAAGGGATATCAGAGCTCATTTTCAGCAAAGTTAAGAGAAATGGCACTAGTTAGCTAACGTTTTCTTTCCCAAACACACGTTTTAGATGCCATTTATCAAACTAGAGTTAATAAACTGATTCTTTTACTATATTAGACTTGTCACGATACTGAATTAAAAGAAAAACTGGCAATTTCGCGCTAACATTTAAGGCAATGTTGATGGCTTTCTTAAAACAGCGCTGATTTGCCATTGTGTTCACTTGTTCAACAGAAATGATTGTGATTGGCCAAGAAGGTCATAAGTTCACCCACCGCTGTATACTGAGCACAAACACAGACGAGCCGAGCGATCTGCTTGATGACTCGACTGATCTTGACGGCTGCTTCGCGCTCCAGTCCGTGTATCTGTGTTCGCACTGGGTGAAGAGTGGTAAACTGAGCGCAAACCAAACACAGATACACGGAGACTAAAGCGCGAAGCCGTGAGGATCAGTTGAGTCATCCGCGCTCAGTGCACCCCACCGCAGCCTCGCTTTGGTTCTTTAAAATGGCGGCCGCGTGAAATAAGCGTATAGGATATCTTTACTGTCGCGATGGCAAGCAGCTGCTTTGTTTTTTTATTTATTTATTTATTTAAAAAGCGCATTAAAGCCAAGATACAACCTGAAAGACGACAATATAACATTTGTTATCATAATCATCAGCACTTTTAATAGTTTATTTTACCGACTTATAATATGCTGTTGTAGGGCGAGGCAGTGGCGCTGTAGGTAGTGCTGATGCCTCACAGCAAGAAGGTCACTGGGTCGCTGGTTAAAACCTCGGCTCAGTTGGCGTTTCTGTGTGGAGTTTGCATGTTCTCCCTGCCTTCGCGTATGTTTCCTTCGGGTGCTCTGGTTTCCCCCACAGTCCAAAGACATGCGGTACAGGTGAATTGGGTAGGCTAAATTGTACGTAGTGTATGAGTGTGTGTGTGAGTGTGTGTGTGGATGTTTCCCAGAGATGGGTTGCGGTTGGAAGGGCATCCGCTGCGTAAAAACTTGCTGGATAAGTTGGCGGTTCATTCCGCTGTGGCGACCCCAGATTAATAAAGGGACTAAGACGACAAGAAAATGAATGAATGAATGAAGATGGTGTTGTTATATTGGAGTTTTCATACCATAATGGCCGCCGCGCCCTCTAGTGGCTGTTTCCCAAATTACACTAGAGTGTCGCCTCTTGGTCATTCTAAGCTCTTTGCCCAGGGCGATATGAACACGTAGCTGCTTATTGCTTTGATAAACAATAATCCTTTCTTCATCGCTAGAGCTGGAGCTGCTGCTTGAACCATCCATAACAACAATCATGTCAACTTTCTGTCTTCTTCTGTGTTACAAGCGGGTGTCAGAAGCTTAAAGTTGTGTAGCGCCATCTAACGGCAAGGAGTGATTTTGCATGCTCTTCTGCTCAACGCCAGTAATAATCGCTTGGGTTTGAACCCGGAAAAACGTCTTGAAAAACGCTGAGGATAAACGCAAACAAAAGCGTCCCGGTGTTGTACGAGCCTTTAATGTCTTTATATCACCCCTATGACTGTGGACACACTACATACAGTTCTGTCCAAACAGCTTACAAAAGATGATTTTCACTTTAATACTAAATTTTAAAAAGTGAAAACATAATCAAGGACACCTTTAATTAGATGGCTACTGTCCACTTCAAAGTCCACTTACATATAAATAGAACGCCAGAGCTTCTGAGTCAAAAACTTTTCAGTACAACTTAGACACACCATAATTAAGCTAATTACCTGACAAAGCTAGTCAAATTATGTCAACAAAGTTAAGCACATGAGAGGGCGACCTGCTGCTGCATAAATCTGCTTTTTATCCACTGATAAACATGTAGCTAGCTTACACCTTCTGTTAATGTACATGTTTTTCCTAAAGCAGCGATGGTTCCTTTAAATCGAATCCCTGACTGGTAAAACAAATGAGCAATATGTAGAAAATGACTGATTACACCTTTAACCCTATGGTGCGTCGGAGACTGACCTACTGTCTGTGACTAACCGGCATTAGGACCGAGCGACGGTTGATCAGAAACACACAAACAGTAGCAGAGAGAGAGAGAGAGAGGGAGAGAGAGAGAGAGAGAGAGAGAGAGAGAGAGAGAGAGAGAGAGACGCTGCAGCATCAGCATCATAATGAATCACAGCAGCTCTGAGGCGCGTGAAGCTGGAGCCACGAGACCAAACTGGAGTTAAGGAAAGACGTTTTATCTGCTAATATAAATCTTTTTTTCCCGCGCCAGGAGTAAAAGTGGACAGAGAGATTAGGCTAACAAACACTTTATCTCCGGGATCCTTTTTAAGGAGCCATGGATTATATTACTCGACAAACTTTTGTAAAACTTGCCCTTTTCATCTTCACAGGTGAGTGTTTTGCTAATTAATACTGGCCTGCTGGTTTCTGTTAACGTTAAATACTGAAACGCTGATATAAATGCATTTAGACTTTGATGGCTTTAAATTAATTCCAGTCGGTCTCGTGGGAAACATGAAACCGCTAATTTCACTTTGATTGGAGTCAATTGGCAAACACATGTAGGCTTAAGTGGATTTCACATTTCCACATAATGATTTTTAAACAGTGCCTGAACTGGTCTTTTACATGGCCCAGATTTCAACAGTACTTTGAAATGAAGTTAATTTATTCTGAGGCATAAAACCCTTTGACATCTCAGAATATGCTGGCCAAATTTGTGGTGTCATACTAATTAAATAAAGTACCCTAAGAGTTCAGACTCTGGGAAGAACTAATAGTTCTCAGATATGAGCAATTGAGGAGGTTCATCTGTTCTGCGGTTTAGGACAAAACTGTTGTTTTCATCTCAGCCCTCTTGAAAATATTCTTTTTTAAAATGAGTCAGTATTCAGGGAAAATATTTACTATTGTAAAACAAAAAATCCTTATTTAGATTTTTATCTTATTCAGTTGCTGCACTATATTGCTTAACAAGTAGACATTTTTTGTTTAACTTTTTTGCATAACAAGTAGAAAAAGATATTTTAAAGCTTTTAAAAGGATATTTTTTTCCACAAAAAAATGGTTCTTCAAAGAACATTTTAGTGAACATTTCTTAATATGCAAATATTTTTACAGTAATCCTACTTTAGTTTAAGTAATAATTCTTACTATTACTGGTGACTTATAGCTATTTCTGCAGAAAATTTTGTTGAGTATCATACCTAAAAACTTAATATGTGACATAATAAAAATACCTTTTTAACTTTTATTTAAATCCAATTATATTAACTTTTTGGGTTAAAAAAGCAAGTCTATCATATAATATATCTACTAAAAGAAAGAACATACTTTGTAGATTGTTTTGTAAATAAATCATAAGAAAATTTTCATATTAGGCTATAATATTACTGAAATTAATATAAAAACTGAATAAATATCAATTTTCACAAGTATATAAATGGACTCAATGATGGGCTAAAATTCTTCCAAACATGCAGATTCAGTGTGGGCCAACGTATTACCTGTTTATTATGGCTGTTTATTAGTAATAAAGTACAAATTCAGCATGATCTTATTTTAAATCTATGTTCAATACCTAAACCAAACTACCTAAACTACCTAAACCACAAAAAATGTATTCTGGACCATAAAAAAGTAATTTCTGACCAATAAACCAATTGAAAACAGCATGTCATAGTTGATTGGAATGATATAGGGGCATAAATGGCATATGCATAAAATATAAGAAATAATCTATAAGCATAGATAAAAGCAATAAAGAAAAGAAGATACACATTAAATAAACAGCGTTTCATTGTTTTCCGAGGAGTTGAATTGTATTCAGGAATATAGTAATTGAATAATAAATGTAAAATAATACTGCATAGTCTATAAACAATTAAATAAAATTAATAATTTTTTATTTCGTCAAAGTTACAAACGGTACATTTTCTTATGTCTGATTGCTTTTAAAACTTTCAAACAGTCACAGGCCTCAAAAAGCACAGATATTCTCATGTACTCGCGATGTGATTTTTGCGAATGATCACATTGCGATACCGATGCTGAAATGATATATTGTTTAGCCCTATATACTCGAAACATTTTTGATATTACATTGTTAGTTTGGATGACAGACTTCTTAAAACAGATTTTATTTAAAAATTATACGTTTAATTTATGCTGTCTGTGTCTCCGAAATGTGATATTTAATCTAATCCTGTTGATTAGTAGCTCATCTGTCCTGCTCATACAGAAAGACCTCATCAGCATCACAGATTATCAGCTCATGTTTGTTGTCCATTAGTCAGGAGTTCGGCAAGAGTATTTATGATTTATGTAATGAGACCGTTGCTGTTATAAGGTCAATTTTTATGTAATAGCCTTCACGTCTAATTAGCAATATGGGAAGAGTGGTCCACACAAGCAGTTTCACTTCACGTTGGACAGTACGTCACTTCTCTGCAGTGTTCAGCACTCTAGCCATTTAGTATTCAAGACTGTACATACGTTAACTGTCTAACGTAGTTATGTATTTATTTGTGTGTTTATTGATTTTTTTGGCACACACAGACTCGGCTGTGTGTAATTCTGCTGTTCTTTGTTGAGCTGAGCTTTTAGTAAGATTAAACACAGAGATGTCAGATTGACAAAAGCCAAAAGCCATTTTTAAGCAACTTAAGACACGTACAGTACAAGAAGTATGTAGGTGAATACTGTCTCTAGATAATATTTCTCCAGCGTTGTTCATTTTTCTATACTGTTTCTTTCTAAGCCAAAGAAAATTACCTCGCTGATTTACACAGAAATGACCTAACAACCCCTGTGTGTAATATTACTAAAATGTTATGCTTTTGAACATCGAAAACCGAGAGCTGCGCTCGGATATCATATATTATGCGTCTGTCCTGTCAGCTTACAGTCAGCTTTGAGGATATTTACCCATCCAGGGATTGTCAATGTCAGAGCTTTAGAAAAGTAAGAATTACGAGACAGATTCTAATTTCTAGTTCAGATGCTTTGTCGTTTATTTAGCATTTGTCGTATTGGCAGATTTTCTAACCACAGCAGGAGCATTATTGAGATAGAAAAGAAACAGTCAGAAGAATGAGAAATAACATAAACTGTAAAAAATGCTGGGTTTCGCATAACCGATCTGTGTTGGGACAACATGAAGAAATTAACCTTATTTTGAACATATTTAAATGGATTGGACTTGAAACAATTAAGTTGTCCCATAAAAACTCCTAGCTGACTTTATATAAGCAGTTTTAACAAGCAAAAAGCTGCTTTAACCCATTTTGCAGGGGATTTTTAGACGTTTTACAGCTGGTTTCAGACAAAAGATTTGATGATAGAGCAACATATCTAGTAAATCCATGTCTTTTTGAACATTTCTCATTTAAAACATCATCAAAACTCTTAACTTTAAATGATAAAAGTTTGGATGAGTGAGCAAGTGACAAATATTGACATCAATTATGGACTAATTGCTGCTCACTAAATTCAGTGTTACAAAATTAAAAACCAAAATAAAATAAAATCCTGCAGTGTAAAATGCGAATAGTTGACTTATTAAAATTGAGTAATCCTACACTGTTAAATGCGAGAAGTTGACTTTACTTTTAAAGTGTAAGTAAATCAGTTGGTTTGAAAATGATTCGTTGACTTAAAAGAACTGAGTAATCCTACACCGTTATTGCGATTAACTGACTTGAGTTTTAAAACATAAGTAAATCCATTGCTACGAAAATGATTTGTTTACTTATAAAAACGTTGCAATCCTACACTGTTAAATGTGATTAGTTGACTTGACGTTTAAAACATGAGTAAATTCATTGCTTTAAAAACATTAGTTGACTTTACTTAAAAGCACTGAGTAATCCTACACTGTTAAATGTGATGAGTTGACCTGACTTTTATAAAGTGAGTAAATCTGTTGCTTTGAAAACAATTAGTTGACTTGAAAAACATAGTAATCCTACACTGTAAAATTTGATTAGTTGACTTAACTTTATAAAGTGAGTAAATCCATTGCCTTAAAACATTAGTTGACTTTGCTTATAAAAATGGAGTAATCCTACACTGTTGAATGCGACTAGTTGCCTTTATAAACATGAGTAAGTCCATTGCTTTGAAAATGATTAGTTGACTGTACTATAAAAACAGAGTAATCCTACACTGTTAAATGTAATGAGTTGACTTTTATAAAGTGAGTAAATCCATCGCTTTGAAACTGATTAGTTGACTTTACTTTTAAAACACGATTAAACCCGTTCCCTTGAAATTATAAAGTAACTACTGTATGTGCTTAATAATAAAATTGATTAAAAAAACTTCTGTAAAACAAACAAAAATGTTGGATGTTTATATTTATTTTCCACTCATCCAAGTCATGCATTTAAACTATTACATAAACACAGGGAGGAAGACTGGTAAAAACCAAAGCTATAGCCTGAATCTAGCCAATCCCACGACGGCCTCTCAGTTCCCAGATCAAGCAAAATATGAAATATGCATTATGTAGTCAGTGAAGAGATTGTGATCATTCTGCAGACATGCAGATTTCAAGCTGAGATTGCTTGTTTTATGAATTTTGAATGTAAAATTGACTGTAAGTAAAATCCAAATGTAACCTTTTGGCTATAAGTAAATTCATCAATTTTACATGACTTTCAAAGCTAACCTGAATCCAGCCAATCACATTAAAGCAGATCAAGCTATATGAAATATGCACTTTACAGCTTGCCAGATCAAGCAATATGAAATATGCATTAGAAAGTCATTAAAACGGCGATCTAAAGACCTGCCATCTGAAGCTTATTGAACTCGATTTCCAACAATTCAGATTATATGTTGACCGACATGGTAAGATCTGACCTTAGGTTTACTACATTTGTATTCTTGCCTGTGCTTTAATTGAGCAAGGTATATGATACATAATAAAGTGTTTTTATAATGTCAAACTACAGCTCACTATTTTTAGGAGATCATTTGAACTCTATAGTGACGTGAATCCGACAGGTGGCTGCCTATTTACTGGTAACAGGTAATTGCTAAAGTTAAATCATAAATCACACCCTTTGGGCGATGAAGACCAGAAATAACAGGATAAATCTGTCCCTTGTTGTACAGAGAAGCCAAAGGAAGAACCAGAGCAGATGTATGAGAATTTCCTGAGATTAAAAACACGTCAGGCATGGGGAATCATTTTACATGGATTATGCATGGAGTGTTTGGTGCAGTAGGACTGCATTTTATGATATGATAAGGATAATGCAACACTGGATACAGTAAAACATACAGTAAATAACCCAAAATACATTTTGTGGGTCAAAATTATTAGGTCAGAATCATTCGGATATTATCCAAAGATCATTTTCTATAAAGGCAACTATTAATGTCT